AAGCAGGGAAGAAAGCAGAGGTTGGTATTTAGGGCCAGGGAGCTTAACTATCAGGTTGTCTAAGTAACACCTGAAGACCTTAAATGTATATTGTGGTAAATAAAAAATATTTTCAAACTATTTGCAGCTTCTTCTTCTATTAAAAAGTAGTATCTACCTTCTTGTCTTTGGTATAAAGGTTCAGCCTGTGACTCACTCTGACTAACAGAATGTGGCAAAGGAGGTTGTGTGGTTTCTAAGTCCTGTTCTCTAAAGGCTTTCTTACTTCTTTTCTCACTCCATCACCAGATGAGTAGAGAAAGGCCCTTCCAGCTATCCCAGCTGAGTTCCCACATATGAGTGATATCCAGAAGCAGTGACCAGTCAGCTGACCACAGAAACTTCACAGTCAACACAGAATTGTGAGAAATAAAAAAAAAATTGTTTTCAAGGACTACTTTTAGGGGTGGCTTGTTATAAACCAAGAAATAATTGAAACGGGTACATTTTGTTAATTTGTATAAATATGTCAGGGAGATATAAATTCATATTCATTGATTTCTTTTGTGACTATAAAAGCAGGGAACAGTGTTTTAAAATACTGTAGCAGAAAGAGCACAGGGATTTCAAAGAACACAGACTGAAGCCTTAGACCTGTTCCACCCTTGTAGCAAGGAACACCTGTGATTTTGCACAAGTAACTTATTCTTTCCACCTCCATTTTCCTATCTATCAGTACCTCACATAGTTAAAAGTGACAAAAATGAAAATATCTGTAAATAGCACATTGCATACTTGAACTGTAGCACTATTGCTGTATATTACATATTGCTTGAAGATTTTCTTTCCCCCCTAATATGCTTCTTGCATCAATGTGTATGACTTCCAAGTTTCTCTCTTGCACATTTCTTTATGCATGCCAGCATTTATACATGTACACACACACACACACACACAATGCACACAGACTCACTATTAGTCCCAATTTTTCCTTTTGTTACTGGGCAGTGGCCTTTGGGCCCTACATAAGGCCCTGAGTTACTAATTCTTATTCCTTTCCATCCTCTCCTGAAAGGTATGACAAGCTGCCAGTAGTTGACATGTCATGATACCAATAGAAAAAGATGACAAAACATGACAGGGTGCCTGGAACTCTCAACCAGATTGACTAGGGAATTAATAATGGTCAAAAGTGCATCACACATGAAAATTTTATCTCTAGTCTCAGGGGACTAGGCACAGAAGAGCCCAAAATGAAGGATGGGCTATTAAGAAAAGGCAGAGATGCTTCGTGAAAGAAAGGAATCATTTGCTCTTAGAAAGTTCAAGAGTAGGAGGGGAAAGTAGTACCTGTCAGGGGCGGAAGTAGAAAGTGATTTCCAGACATGATAAGAACATCTAGGGTGTGACAATTATAAGGACTCAGGTCATGTTTGACCAATGAAGAACACTGAGTAAGTAAATTTGGAATATACAGTTCAAGAGAAAATTCACAAACTGAGTAAGAGGTCAGAGAGAAATAAGCAGCTAAGGGCATGGATGAGTGAAATAGTCCTGCTGAGGAGGGGACAGAGAGTGAACTCTTTTCCAAGTCTTTAAAAATACAAAAAATGTTTTCAAAAAGAGATTGCTACTTCCACGGAAGGCAATTTTTTAGATCTGAAGTTTCAAATTTAGCTTATTCTGTACTACATGGGCCTCCTTCCACCCAGAATTCTCAATGTTAAATTCCAAGAACTCTAGGTTCGATAAGTGTCAATAATCACAATAGGCTTTTATATATTGTTATGTTTTTCTTTATGACTACAAATCAAGCTCTTAAAGAGTGAACATTTCACATGGCTAAGACAGAAGAATAAATACTACCACTACTGCTACATATTAGGATTTCTTATTTTTATTTCCACGATTTAGTTTTTCTTCTTATCCAAATATGACTTATCTCTCATCTTCCTTAATAAGTAGAAACCCACTTCAGAGGTTAAGCTTGGATAAATAGCTGTAAGCCACAACCTGAGTATATTCTGCATTTACCAACTCATTGCATTAATATTAATGCAATGCAGAGGAAAAGAAGACATAATTGCTGACCTCTAGAAAAATCCTTTAGCTGGTGAGGTAAGACTTTAGGTATGTAACAATTAATAGTGTAAGGGAGTATATGATTAATTTACAACATGGAAAAGGAAATGTTCGAAGTTCCCAGGAGATAGGATAGGTGTTAGTTGAAGCACGGAGAGTGCATGGATAAAGTGGAATTTAATTGGAGTCCTGCAGGATGAGCAATATTAGCAAAGGTGGAATGGAGAAAAAAAGACAACTCCTGCTGGGAACATGGAGCACAGTGCTCAATGGAGGGTTTCTATGTTATTGAGGGGTATCAGGCCATAGAGAAAGGGTCTGGGAGACAAGTGCAAGAGTTTTAAAGTGAGACTAGAAGCAGTATCACCAATTAATGGCAGGAAGATAACAGAAACAAAGTATACTCATCTTTTCATCCCTCCTACCCTCTCTCCCTTCCTTCTATCCTTCCTTCACCAATAAGTATAAGTTGACCATATTACATCTAGGTAGTAGAGGCTATACATACTCTGTGAAAGACACCTAAGTTAGGGACTGAAGACTGCAAACACTTCAAAGAGAACAAACTATTAGGTGGAAGAAGGAGGGTATCTGGAAAGAGGCAGCTGAAAATGCAAAGGTCCAGTGCATGAGAAAGCTCGGGGAGGGGGCCTGATCAGGCAGGAACAAAGGCTGCATGTATAGCAAGGGCAGGGGACCAATACGGGTCACTGAGTATCTGAAATACAGGAAACTGAAGAGCTGTGAGAACCTATAGTTTCACTGCAAATCATTTACAGTGGAGCTCTGAATGATTTCCTTTTCCATGTTTCCAATTTCATCATTAGAGGCACATTTACCTTTAAGCATTCTTTGGGTGAATGCCAAAGTCAAAAATTATGCTGACAATCACCATCCTAAGATTTCTCTTTACTAGACTTACAGAAGATCGAGGATAAAAGAAGGCATCTAACTCAACCTCCTTCCCAATGTTTCATTTCTTTTAAACATTACTGGCAGATGGCCATCCAAATGGAAAGAAATCTATCCAGCACCATGGAGGTCAGTCTTCATCAGGGAATAGTCATCATCAGTCAGCATCACTAGCTGTGAGATTCTGTAGGCTTGCCTATAGCTACTACCCATTTGGATCTCCCAGAGGGACTGAACAATAGCCTACTGCAACTCCTATATACAGATGCGCTAAATCACTTCTATAATAATGAGTTGATAGTTGTTCCTTTTCCTCACTCAAGGACTACTTACTTAACAACTGGCTTTGATTAATTAGGTTCTCCAACACAATTTACCACCTTCCTTTTTCTTTCTTCTTCTTCTTTTTTTTTAATGAAGACCTTGAAGGGACATCTGTTACCCTTAGCGATGCTCCATTTTTCTCCTCCACTGATTAGTGATGCCTTATTTATGTGTGCACATTATTTTACTCCTTTCCAAGCATCTTATAAATTATCACCCTCTAATGTTATAAGAAGGCTTGGGGCACCACTCTAGCACATCATCTTCACAACAATTTTTGCGTCGGTTCTATGACAAGAGTATAAAGGACATGTTTGAGAGAATCCTAGGTTTCAGACAAAACAAAAGGCTAGGCCACCAAAGACCTAATGTCACTCAAGAAAAGAAAGGAAAAAAGTTAATTATCAGAACAAGCTCTGGATGTCTACTCTAATTACGGACAAAAAAAAACCCTGAAACTTACTGTGATGGTTAATCTTGATTGTCAACTTGATTAGACTGAGATGCCTAGGAGATTAGTAAAGCACACCTCTGGGTATGTCTATGAGGGGTATTTCTAGAGGAGATTAACAAAGAGATTAACAAAGCAATTCCTTCCTCCTTGCCCTCATTTCTGGCTACTGTAATGACATGAGCTGCCCTGCCTTGCCATGCCCTTTCTGTGCCAAGGATGGACATGATACCTCTGAAACCAAGAGCCAAAACAATCCTTCCTCCCTTACATTGTTTCGCTCCAGTATTTTATCATAGTAATCAAAGTATGACTAACACTTACTTTAGTTATTGACCATATGTATACACAGTTTATCAAACCATTTCTATCAGCACAACTACTCAACAAAGCCAGAAGTACCTAGCTTTAGGACTGGGACTAGAGGAGAAGAGGTTAGAAATGAAGTTAGCTGAATATCATGTGTACAACCAAAGTTGAAAGAAATAAGATGACTTTATCATAGAGATAACATAGTAACTTGCAGAAGAAGTAGAGGGGAAGTCATGGAAGAGAAGAGGAGTACTGAGTGGGGGAGCAGACTGCAAGTTATGTTTCTAAACTAGTGTACCCCAAAGCAAAGTACTAAGGACCAGTTCCACGGTGATACTTTTGCAGGCTATCAGGGACAAAACCTAGGCGCTCATTGAAATGTTACCAGCTTTACTCTCATTAAGCCAGAAAGATATGTGTGTTACTTCTGAAGATGTTATACAAATTTAGGTACCTCTTTTCATCTTGGTAAGAAATGGATCCTGGTAGATGTGTGATTCTAAATGTGAGGGTTCCTGGAGAGTAGCTCTATGAATGTGTGTAATGTTTCACCACACATGGGACATACTGCTTAAGCACCTGCAAGATTTACTGCCGAGGATCAAATGACATGTGCACTAGTGATAGACACATCACTGCCTCTCTAGCTATATACAAGGGGCAGCTTTGTCTGTCTTGTTCCCAGCCTTCAAAAGTGCACAAGCACCCTTACAGAAATAATCTATAAGAATTAATGACTTCACCTGATGACACCTGGCTTTGATCTAAGGAAATACATATGTAAATACCAAGTAATGGTAACAGTTCAGTGATTTCACCAGAGAAACAGGAAAAGTATTAGGTTTCCCAAGGACAACGCAGCTGCCTGCGTTATACTGTGCTTAGATGAAGCTAACAGGCCAGACAGAGAAGAAATGTGATGAAGCGATGACAAACCGACCTTGCTGGCAGAGTGCAGCAGCCATCCGCTGTGAGTCGTACTTGGGTTTCGTAGCTGTCCAGGGGGCACACGGCCTGCTGGACAGGGGGGCACTCCACAGTGCTGCAGTCCACACTGAAAACTGCAAGGGGCAAACAGAGAGGCACCGTTTACTGTGACATTTACTTGCATTTTGAGTCCCCATATGAAACACTGACTCGACTACTTTCTAAAGCTTCCTAGTGTTCCAGGAACTCAAATCGGGGTGCTGGCATTTTTATGCCACTCAATGCTATAGAACTGTAGTATGTTTCCAATCGTCTGTGCAAGAGATGGGGACGAGACATGGAAGAGCTAAGATGAAGACAGAATTAGACCAACAGTGGATACATGTATGGTGACAAGTGGCCAGAGGCATTCTTGACAGAGCAGTTTCAGATGGACAAGGGATTGCTTTGCTTGCAGCATTTACCTAAAAGTAAAAATAAAGTAGAAATAAAAAAAAAATGGAAAACTGTGACCAGTTGTTAGAAACTTGTAAAGAGGAAATTACTACAACCCAGACCATATTAGAAATGGTGCCACAAGAGCAAGGATGTTAGAAATAATACAAAGCAAGAAATAGCTTAGCCATGACAACAAATCCAATATTGGCAAAGAAGGTGAATAAACAGTTAAAGATTACTTAGCACATGCGATCAAGTAAAAGGATGGTGGAGAACTGACAAAGATTTGGGCTGAGTATCTCCTTATTAAACTGCTGATGTGGTGATGTGCATTTCTTATTTAAAAATAGTTTCTTTTCCCTGTTTTATGTATGATTGCTTGTAAATGTAGTAATAGATACCTGCAAATACAGGCTCTGGCCACCTCAAAGGAACAAAGCAGGTAGCTGTAGTACCATAAAGCTCAACCACCTTTCCCTGCAAGCAAATTTGGAAGGAAAAAAGAGACAAGAAAGAGAAAAGGATATGCATTTTCCCTGAAGGCACACATGTATCAGGGAATTAAGCCCTTTAATTCTCTGATAACAAAGCCTGAAGTTGGCTATCAGCATAAAGTGTCAGACTCAAAGTGTACTGGTAAGGATGCCCATCTGTGTGGGAAAGAAGAGGCCAGCGAGGCTGAGGAGCCCAGCTACCTTCTGATGTAAAGGGGCGAGGCTGCTGAGACAGAGCTCAGGCGTACCTGGTTTGCACTCATAGAGGTCACAGCACTCTCCCGGCTTGCCTGAGGCTTTTGACACTAGAATGTTCAGGTATCCTGGCTGGCAGACTTTGCGCAGACAGCCTGCAGGGTCACACACGCAGCGGCTGGGTAAGGGACAGCACTCCCCAGGAGGAGCATAACCCTCGATCAGAACGGAATCTTCAGGACAACGTGGAGAGAACTGGACTTCACAGCGGGCCTTGGAGCAATCTGGCTTCTCTTCTAAATGGGAAGAGAAAGAATTTAGCTCATGCCCAGAGCAATGTGGGTACTTTTGTCAGAAGCACAGATGACCCTGAGGGTCTACCTACTCACTAATGACCAGGGTGGCAGAAGAAATCTAGTGAAAACCTTCAGACTTAGTTCAATCATGAAAAATCTCTCTCAACTAGAAGCCTCAACTTCCCTTCTTCTCCATCTTCCTAGTCACACAGGTTGAACACACCCAAAGTGAAGAGAGGCAAAGAGGAAATCTATGCATGGCATGAAGAATCTGAAAACTGAGGCACGGACAGACACATTTCTAAATTCAAGAGTTTTAAGGACTGTTCTTTGAAAACGGTGTATATTTACACAGAGACATAGTAATAAGTCCTGGCAACTGCAGGGATTGGAGACTGTGCTTGGCAGTAAACACAGAAGAATGGTGCCTTCAAACTCTTGCGTTTCAATGAGATGAACTTAGCACCATGTAATTCTATGATGAGCCAAATTTACATATAGCTCCCTACAAATAACTGTATGCTTCTACATCACTAGCAGACTCACTGAATGTACTCTATTGCCCTTTCTCCACTGTTCTCTGCCGAGACACCTTAATTTTAAAGATGGGAAAAAATAAAGGTGGCTATCCAATTTTAGGACCAGGTAGCAAAGCTTTAGCTTCTCCAATATATAACTCAGTTCTTAATATGTACTTTAAAAAAAACCTATAAAAACCTAAGGTCCTTGAAGAAAAGCCTTACTGTATACTATGATCTTTGAGGCGGGGAAGTTCAGAAGGTGTTAGGTGAAAACAGTGTCTTATAGGGCTGGGGTACTTGTCTTTCCTAAAATCCAGAGATAGAATTGCAAAGTAGGATTAGACCTAAGATAGTTTAGTCTTCTAATTGTGTCGATAAAGAACTTTAGGCAGAGGTTCAGGTAACTTGCCTAAGTGAAATGATAAAATTATTCCCCAAATTGAGGTCCCTTCATTTCTAATTCCTCTCCCCCCTCCCTCTGGGAGAATTGATGTTTGAACTTGGGGCCTCAAGCCATGTCTCAGCCCTTTTGCTGTAGTTTTTCAGATAATCTGATATTTTTGCCTGGCTAGCTTCAGATGATGATCCTCTTACCTCTGTGTGCACCAGCACGCATGGCTTGGTTTTGGGACTAGAAATTGCTACAACTTTTTTTGCCAGGGATATCCTTGCACTGTGATTATAACTCTGCTGGGGCTGGCCTTCAATCTAGATCCTCCTATCTTTGCTTCTTAAGTAGATGGGATTTCAAGTGTACGTCACACAGCTATCTCTTGATATCAGAAGAGTAAATCTCTTTCCAAAACTAAGCCTATTCCATTCCCCCAGACATTTTCTAACTCAGTTGTTGCATATTTCACTTTATGGCTATTTTATATTTATATTTGTAACTACTTCTTACCTAATTGAAACATACTAATCGAAGGTCACTCATACTCCATAGTTCTAAGTAGTTCATTCAGAAACATTTATTGAGCATCAGTTTTTCCATCAGCCCAGCACAGATCAGTAAAAACAACAAAATCCCTACCCTTATACAGTTTAAAGGGTGACAGAGAAGTAATAGAAAAATAAATTATATAGTACTAAAGGTGATGAGCACTTGGGGGGAGGAGGGCAGCAAAGTGTAAGAAGGAGCTAGAGCTCTTGTGAGAAAGAAAGACAGTTATAGTTAGTACAGAATGGGCATTATGGAGGAGCTGAGGAGACTTCCAGGAGGGAGGGGGTGAGCCAGGAGACAAGTGAGAAGGTCTTCCCGCAGAGGAAGAGCCAGATCATGTTTGTGTCCTAGACAGAAGAAGGAGGCCAGTGTGGATGGAGTAGAGCCAGTGAAAGATTAGATGGAAGAAGATTAGAGGGAGAAAAGGGGGATATGATTAGTTAGGAGTCCTTGGGCCCATTTTAAGCTAGCTCTTTGGTTATGTAGGAGAAAGAGGAATGTCTCAGAAAAATAGGTACACTTCTAGAATCACAGGACTTATGAATCTGGGGCACCAGCAAAGAACATCTGGGGAGAAGTGAGGTGTGGGGGAGATTGGAAAGGCCTTTGGACAGAAAACCAAGATGTGGTCAGAGGCAGAGATGAGTCTAGACTCTAATGGTCATGTGACTAATCCTCTGCCACTCATCCTATGATTTTTGGACAGAATACTACCTCACTGCCTCTGGTCTCTCTTCTAGCCACTGTCAATGAGTGGAAGGTCTAACAGGCTCCATCCTATGGGCAAATTTCATTAACACAGGTGCTATATGCTAAGGTCAAAATAATCCCTCCCACAAGGTGTTATTCTTTGCCCCAACTTTATGGATTATGAAACTAAGGTTGAGACAGGTCAAGGTAATTGCCTGAGATCACACAGCCAGTAAATGATGTGATGATGTGACAGTCCATCAAATTCCATTTATATTCTGTGCTAACATGCCTCCTGTCCTTAGCCATTCACTAGTGTTGATGATATTCAATCTTGGCCTTGACTTTCTTTCTTTTAGTTCATTTCTCCATACTCTGCTTCTTCCTGACCAGACTGCAGTCTCTGTTAAAATTATATAAGTTATCCAGACTCCTCCTCTCTCTTATCCAACCTTCTCCCACTGGGAACCCCCTGGAACTCACGAGTTTACACTCTACTTTGTCTGGGCTCAGTTACCTCTAGTCTAAAGAGAATCCAGCTATCCCACATTCATATTACAATCCCAAGGAACTACCCTAAGAAGAGGAAGAACAATTCTATTCTGAGACTCCCATTGATATGAGGTGGAAGAAATCAAGAAGTTGTGAAGGCAAGTTTAACTATGGGGATTGTTAGCTGGAGTTTGTAAAGTTCACTCAGTAAGCAGACTGCTTATCTGGCAAATACACACACACCGTTTCATAATTAACAAAAGCTCTATGAATTTAATTGCAAATAGCACTTGGTTCCTACTCTTGGCAATTTGCTGTAATTAACTTACTCGGCATCACATTCTATAATTTTGTTATTCTATAACAATTCAGAATATGTAATCAGACTTTTCAAACAAATGCTTCAATTAAACATTCCATTAAAAACCAACGTATTAGTTCTTGTTGGTTATTCAACTCTATTCTTTTTAACATTCTTTAACACTGTCACCTCTTAAAATTATGCTTTGCAGTTCAAGCCTAGAGAGATTTTTTTTGGGGGGTGGGGGGGGCCCTGGGGCTTGAACTCTGGGCCTGCATGCTGTCCCTCAGCTCTTGAGCTCAAGGTGAGAGCTCTACCACTTAAGCTGGGAGTTAATTGGAGATAAGAGTCTTACAGACTTTCCTGCCTGGGTTGGTTTTGAACCCAGATCCTCATATCTCAGCCTCCCAAGAAGCTAGGATTACAGGCATGAGCCACTGGCGCCCGTTCTGCAGAGATTTTAAGAGCTACTTTTGTGACACAGCAGGACAGGGCAGCCTACCTCTGACATACTGAATCATAAGGGCATCAGAGTTTTTGAGCTTAGATGGATCTAAGACTATTAAGAATTACTGTGAAATCTTATCAAATGCTTTCCAACTGTTCTCAAGTGGATCATACAGACTTTCTTTTTATAATTAAGGTAATCAACTGGTGGATGTTCAACCATGTTTGTGTTCTTAGAATAAACTCTTGTTTTTGAAGATTTTGCTCGCTTTGACTAATATTTTAAGATATTTACATTTATAAATGAGTAGTTCTCGCTCCCTCCCCTTCTCTTTGCCTCTCTCTTTTTCCCTGTCTTGTCAGTCTGTCTGACTCTGACACATACATTCTCTGTTTCAGTCTTACAGGAACTCTTCAGACAAGTTGTTTTTAGTATTCTACCTCTTTCTCTGCTGTGAAGTGCTTTTACAAACAAAATATTTTCTAGTCTCTTCTGCTTTACACAACTTACTTGTGAAACTAGCTGAACTCAGTACAGTTCTTAAAGGGGAAAGAAGGAAATTTCTTCTTCAGGCACTAGATTACTCAGGTAAACTACCTCTTAGGATCATTTTACAACATGACTTTTTAATAAAAAGTATAAAATTCATCTAGAATTTCAAATTCAGACTTTACTGACCAGGGTTTCTTTTTGTACTGTGTGTACAAATCTTTGTTTAAGGTTTCCAATTTCTTCTTTGCCTTTTCACATGATTTTTAGTTTTATTGTGGTATCCTAATGTTACTACTCAGCTCACTTCTATTTATTTTTTATCCTTAAAAAAGTAACATTAAATTACCTTAATGTTAAATACTGCTTTGACTATATTGTTTTTTGGGTTTTTTGTCTGTCTGTTTGTTTGCTGGTCCTGGGGCTTGAGCTCAGGACCTGGGCTCTGTCCCTGAGCCTCTCTCTCTCTCTGCTCAAGGCTAGCTAGCACACTACCACCTGAGCTACAGCACCACTTCCTGCTTTTTTCTGTTTATGTGGTACTGAGGAATGGAACCCAGGGTTTCATGCAAGCTAGGCAAGCACTCTACCAGAAAGCCATATTTCCAGCCCTACATCCTAATTTTTATGTACAATGTTCTCATTGTGATTGATTTTTAAAATTATCTATAATTCAACATGGATTTTGTCTTTGAAATCTTAACAATACACTACTATGTTTCTGCATAGAGAAATTCAGAAAGGTTTTTCTTTTTTTTTAAGAGTTAAGCCATAATTTGACTAATTTGTTGCCACTGGCAGTATGAAAAAATTTTCAACTTTCATTAATTTCTTGATTTTTTTTAAGTTTGGCTTTTGGCACCCACGTGTGTATATATTGCCTTATGACCAAACTTTAAATACATGATAATTTAGATTTCTAAACTCTATAGTTTTCTTATTTTGTAGTTGTCCTTTGCTTTTCTTCTTCCTTTCCTCCAAAAGATTACTGAGAACCTTTGCTCACTGAATCTAGGCTTATATTCCACATGGTTACCACAGCATCAGGAATTGTCTTTTTGATACTTTCTCAGCTTGCTTCTAATACATAAAGGATGCCAGAAAATTTTATTTATCTGT